GGAGCTGCAGCTTCTCCTCAAACAGCAAAATGGGACATCGAGATATTCGTCGACGAAACTCCTGTTGTTTTCCGAATAGACACTGGAGCAGATGAAACGGTGTTACCAGCTGCCATCTTTCAAAAGGTCTTCGCAAAGTGCCACAAGCTCTCCGAGCCCCAACGCCGACTTCATGGTCCAGACGGACGACCCCTTAAAGTCATGGGATCAGCTTGGATGAAGCTCAACTGTCGTGGGCAACAAGCACTCGAAGAAGTTTACATCGTGAAAGGACTTCGCAAACCTCTCTTGGGTAAGCCAGCTATCGAAAAATTTCGGCTTTGCCCTCAAATCTGCATGACTGCGAACAAAGCTTGCGAACCGAAGAAAGAGTTCTCTCACCTGTTTCAAGGACTGGGATCTCTCGAAGGTGCTCACGTTCTGAAGCTGAAACCTAACGCGACGCCGTTTGCTATCGCATCACCGAGAAGAGTACCGCTTTCGCTGTATCGAGAAACGCAGAAAGAGCTAGAAAGCATGCAGTCGCAAGGTGTCATCTCTCCAGTAGAAGAACCTACTGAATGGTGCGCGCCGATGGTCATCGTCCCCAAACCGTCTGGCAAAATTCGCATTTGTGTTGATCTCACACAACTGAACAAACACATTCAGTGCGAATATCACCCCATCCCATCAGTGGAGCACACGCTGGGAAGGCTAGCAGGAGCCAAGATCTTCTCAAAGCTGGACGCGAATTCTGGGTTCTGGCAGATCCCTTTAGACGAGAAGTCACGACTCCTGACGACATTCATCACTCCGTTTGGAAGATATTGTTTTAATCGCCTACCATTCGGAATCACGTCAGCACCGGAACACTTCCAGAGACGTATCACACAACTTCTCCAAGGAATGGAAGGAGTACTTTGCCACATGGACGATATCTTGATATGGGCGTCATCGTCCGAGCAACACGAGCAACGTCTGCGAGAAGTCCTCAGGCGACTCTCATCAGCAGGACTCACGCTCAACGAGGAAAAATGCGTCTTTCGAGTGACAAGTATCAGGTTCCTAGGTCATCAAGTAGACAGCGATGGTGTCCGTCCAGACGAGACAATCGTCAACGCAGTGAAACAGATGCCCATACCGACTTCAAAGCAAGAAGTCAAGCGCATCATGGGTATGGCGACATACCTAGGACGATTCGTGCCACACCTGTCTGACCTTCTGCATCCACTATCGTCACTGCTCAGTTCCAAAGTGGACTTCGTGTGGGATCATCCTCAGCAGAAAGCCTTCGCAAAATGGAAAGAAATTCTCTCAACCTGCCCCGTTCTTGGAATTTACGACGCCAACAAGCGATCGATTGTATCTGCAGATGCGTCATCCTACGGCCTGGGAGCAGTACTGCGTCAAGAGCAGGAGGATGGATCATATCGTGTCATCGCCTATGCGTCCAGAACACTCACCGAAACAGAGAAGAGGTACGCCCAAATCGAAAAAGAAGGTTTGGCACTCACGTGGGCATGCGAAAAATTCCGAGATTACATCGTGGGAACGCACTTTGTACTGGAAACCGACCACAAACCACTCATTTCTCTGTTTGGATCAAAGTCATTGGACGACCTAACTCCACGGCTTCAGAGACTGCGCATGCGTTTAATGCGCTACTCATTCGAAGTTGTCCACGTTCCGGGCAAGGAACTCCAAGCAGCTGACTCGTTGTCAAGAAGCCCTCTGCCACAGCGGCAAGACAGAGAGATGCAAGATGAAATCGATTGCTTCATTCGACACATAGAGACGTCCCTACCAGCAACGCAAACGAGTCTCCAATGGATAACGGCAGAACAAAACAAAGACCCTGTTTGCCAAAGACTCGCCAGCTACAGCCATAAAGGTTGGCCAAATCGTCGAGATCTCGGAACAGACCTCAAAGAGTACTACGAGTACCGTCATCACATTGCCGTGCAAAACAGCCTTCTCATGAATGGTTCTAGAATAGTGGTACCAGAATCCTGCCGTCCACATATCCTGCAACAACTTCATGAAGGACACATGGGCATAGGAAAATGCAAAGCACGGGCAAATGTATCGGTGTGGTGGCTGAGGATAAACGATCATATCGAGCGCCTGGTCAAGAACTGCGAAAAGTGCATTAAAACTGGCCAGAACCGAAAGCTCCCCCTCATCCCGTCAGAGTTTCCTAGTCGACCGTGGGAGAGAGTGGCGATGGACCTCTTCTTCATTCACGGGAAATGGTGGCTGGTCGTCGTCGACTACTACTCTCGCTACCCCGAAATCGCTCGACTGGAAAGCCTCACAGCAGCGTGCGTAATAATGCACTGCAAATCGATATTTGCGAGGCATGGCATCCCAGAAGTAGTGGTGTCTGATAATGGTCCTCAGTTTGCGGGAACCACAGGTTCAGCATTCACCAAGTTCTCACAAACCTACGGATTTAAGCACATCACATCAAGCCCTCGCTACGCGCAGAGCAATGGGATGGCGGAGGCTGCGGTGAAGATCATAAAGAGATCACTCAGCAAAACGGAAGATCCGTACGAGACACTCATGATCTACCGTTCAACGCCTCTGCCCAACGGATACAGTCCGACAGAACTTCTCATGGGGAGAAGGATGCGTACAACCGTACCGATCGCCACTCAGCTCCTGGAACCAAAGCTACCCGACCAAAAAGAACTGCGTCGCTATGAGCAAGAAAACAGGAACCGACAAAAGCAATACTTCGACCGGCGACACGGAGTGCGTCAACTCGATCCACTCGGCTCTGGACAGCGAGTTTGGGTCATTGACCTAAAGCGAACCGGAGTTGTTCAGAACAAGGCCCATACACCACGATCTTACTGGATAACGTCCGAGGGTCAAGAGATCCGAAGAAATCGCACGCATTTAATTCCTTTCCCCGATCAACAAGATAAACAAGGCATCGAAGAGTTCCCCGAAACAACCACGAGGCCCGAAGAAATGTGTGCCGACACCTCCCACAAACATTCTCGGCACGGCCGGTGTGTAAAAGAGCCAGACCGTTTCGGCACTTCTTCGAAGCTCCCTTAGAAAGAGAGATGTTATGGAGGTCGCCGACGCGCCGACGCTAGCGAGCTCCAAAGTCCAAGGCGACCGAGAAGAACCGTTCGCGCGCAGCCCGAGATCTAAACATCCGTTCGTCCGCTTCGCGCGTAACCTGAGCGCCCCGTACCAGAGGCGCCTTTCTTTTATTTCGTTTTAGATTTAATAAACGAGACGTCAGTCTTCAGTCTGACTCCGGCACGAAAGGTTGTCCATGTGTGCCCTTCGCAAAAGAACGTAAAACGAAACAGTTTCGTTTTCCTTTTGAGCCAGCGTTCTTCATTTGGGTTCTGTTTATTTTTGATGGTTACGTTAGATCACATCACCGACCGAAATAGGCGCGAATGGTAAGCCGTGGAACGCGGCCAGCTGAAATGTTCGATCGGAGGTCTGGCATACTTTTCTCATTTTGTTAGAGCACCTGAGTCTGGGTAAGAAAATCTTCAGGCAACCAAAAGTTGAAGACAGGGAAAGAAGTCGTTTAGACGGTGTTTCAAACTCAGCTAATATGTATTCTCGCGCGATTAAAACGCCACTTCCGTGCGAAAGTTAGTTTCGACGACATCTGACTACGTGACAATCTTTGCTTTTTAACACTCACGCGTTTTTGGTACTTCAACTAAGTTGTCCCCCGTGAACTACAATAACCCTCCACCCCCCCCCCCCCCCCCCCCCCCCCCCTTTCCCCCTTCCCGCGCGTTTTTTTTAATGATGTCGAGTAAGAAAGCATGCACAAACGAGCACCGATTTTGATATGAGCTACGCGGGGTCGTACTACTGCTTTATTATCCGTCAATATGAAGGTGCTGCCCATTTGCTTTTGTTTCTTTATATTACGAAAAGCTGACCTGTCCTTTTGTTTATTTATATTATAGCAAGCCACCCATCCACGCCGCTTCCCGGGAACAGTCTGCGGCGGCTTATCACAGAAAATGTTCATCCGAGCTGTCGATGTAACGATTAAATGGCCTGGTAATGGCACTGTATGTTGATGAAACGTCGTGCCATGAACTGATTGCCTGCGAGATTGCATCCCGCGTTCTCGCAGACGCCTTGTACGACAAGCAGTGCTCACCCCTTCGCGGAATAATCGAGACGCTTTTGGTGGGTGCTAAAAGACTGTCAGAGATCGTTATTTCCCGCGGGCCCTACCCGAAGAAAGAAAGAACACGTTGTACTGGCCTGTAACAATATTGGCCGCGCATAAACGGTCACCGACGTTTGTCTGTCACAGGTCATCTCGCTCTTTCACTCGCTTAACAGCGACGGCCCATCGTTGCTTCCATGCTTTGTTACACGGGAACTGGAACATCTTATGCCCTCTATGGCTTGCGTTAGAACAACGTACCGCGTAGCTGTAAGCCATTTTCACCGCGAATACAGCACGGCCACCACGCCTAGAAGGGCTCTCGATGCAGCTGGACGAACCGCAACCGGCACCGGACGAACCGGAAGCGTGAAGTCACGTGGTGTCTCGCTTCGGATGACGAAACTTCCGGCTCAAACGCCGGTCACCTATTCCCACGTCATAGGCGGCCATTTCCCATAGACCTTGTCTCGCAAACACTGCAGAACCTTCGGTCTTGTTACAAGAACCTTCGGTCTACTTATAAGCAGATCGGAAGTGCTTCCAGGACTCCCCGGCAGATGGCGGCAGCGTGCTTTCTCGACGTATTACGAGTCACTGCCACGCAGTCGATCCAGGCCGCTCCACGCACTTGCATTTGACGTCGACCGACCATGCCATAACCAGGTTTGATCCACTCCGGTCGTAAGCAATCTCGAGTGTGTGAAACGGCTGCCTACGCACACGCGCTCCACCCAAACCCAAACTCACAGGAACCATCACCTCCTCCTCCGCCGCCGCCACTTCCTCCTCCTCCTCCACCTCCGCCCCCTCCTCCTCCTCCGCTGCCACCTCCGCCGCCGCCGCCACCCGCCTCCTCCTCCGCCTCGGTTGAGCTCTCCGGCGTGGGAGCGCAACAGGTGCAGGATCGACTCGCGGGTGTCCCTGTCCTGGCGCCAGGTGGCCTCATCAATGTCGTCCGCGGCAGGCTTGGCCTCTGCTGCTGCGCCGCCTTCTCCCGCCGCCGGGGTGGCACCAGCTGGGGTGGCACCGGCTGGGGTGGCGCCGGCCGGGGTGGCGGCGGCAGCCGGGTCGGCGCCATTTTGTGGGGTCCGTTTGCTTGCCTTGTACTCGTCGAGCTTCTCCTTTGTCTTGGCGTCCACTTTCACCTGCGGGGGAAAGAGCCGTTCTGCGACAAGCTGAAAAAAGCGGGACAAGACCCTCCCGCAAAGCATTCTGCGTGCCGCGATTGGTGCATTCCTGCTCTCCAGCAATAACTCTGCTAAAATGAAAAGAGTGCAGTGCTTTGTGAGAGGAGCCTGTTTTCTTCTTAACGGAGGAGATAATACGAGGTCATGGTCTCCTTTAGCGTGACTATGGGGGCAGTCATGCTGCATTTCTGTCATCGTGAGTTTGCAGCAGATTCCTGCGTTTTTGTCCGCAATCTAGGTTCCTGTGACAGGCAAGTTTGTAGTGGGTTCCCGCGCGTTTATTGCACCGTAAAACTTAAATCTGCCGTGTCTGTGATTTGCATTTTCGTTCCCGTGAGATGAGAGTTCTTGGCGGGTTTCCGTGGGTCCTTTGTACCATGAAACGCGAATCTGCTGCGTCCACAACCTGCAGCCTCTTTTCTCGCGATACAGGAGTTCGTAGCGAATTCCTGCGTGTTTATGACATTGTGAAACACAACCTCGAGGTGTCCGCAATCAGCGTTTTCGTGTCGAGTGGCTTGTGGCCGGTGCATAGGTGTTTATCATTAATTTTTGAGCAAGTTTTGCTGTGGCATCCCCAAAGGTAGCCCACCCCATGTTTTTTACCATTTATCTCTTCATTTTGGGTGGGCGTTCTTTCTGAACTTTACGGTATAGTCTAAGCTCATTATAACAGACCCGGTTACAACAGACATTTTGATATAACATACCGATTTGTGAAGTTCGATTGGTTTTCCTCTATGCACCATCAACTCAACTTCATATCTGCATACAACATACTCCTTTAACAACAGACCAAAATCTTGGTCAAAATCAAGGTCTGTTATAACGAGCTTAGACTGTACTGGATTCAGAGATACAATAACCAACCAATTTTTCGGACGCCGGTAGTTCTGACTTTCTCAATATTTCGGACCTGAAGGAGTACTGTGACCTACCCGATAGAAATAATGCATATTCACAGCCAATGTTTCCGACAGCTTGAAGTCTGGAAGTTATATTTTTCGGACAAAATCGGCGCGAGCGATTGGCTGGAAAGACCACCAAGGAGTGGCCATTTTGGATTCTATGTTGCCTGTACATGGATTGGCTTGGCAGCACTATTTGAGTACCGCTAAGTCCTACAGCTATGTGACTCTTCTTTGGCTTCTTTTCTCTAGCCACACGTCATTATCATCATCATTATTGCTACTATTTTGCTTTGTTCATTTGCCATTGCAGTCGTGGACTTTCGCCGATCCTAAAGCTAGAAAAGAAGGCAGCGATTCCCAAGCTAGTAGAAAGTTGCCAACACAAACTGAGGTATAATTTGAAACAAGGTGCACAGGCGTAACCTGAAGCAAAGCACTATTTACGGCTTTTTTAAGCCCGCTTCGACATAGTAAAGGCAAGTTTTTTATTCTGACAATTTTTCGGACTGTTCTATTATTCCAATATTTTTCGGTCCCTGCAAAATATGAAAAATCGGTCGGCGACTGAAGCCAAATAAATTCGTGGGAAACGACTTCTTGTCACTCATTCTACCAAATTACAAATTCTTTTGCTAGATGGGATGGATTTTTGGCAATCTTGTTTTCTGAAATGCAGACATATCTAGGTACCCACAAAAATTAAGTTGTAGGAGGAACATTAGAAACCAACTTTGCAATTACCTCATGAAAATTTGTGGAGGTGCCACCAATCCCTCAATGACACACACAAAAAAAAAGAAAACTGAAAGAAAAGAAGGCTAAAAAAAGTTGAGCTTACAACAAGCTTCTTGTCTCCAATTTCCCAGTCGTGCAGGATTCTGATGGCACGCATGGCGGATTCAGGATCCCCATAGTCGCAGAAGCCAAAGCCTGCACAGACCAGCAACTCAGTGGCACCGAAGCAACAAGAAAACGTGACACAAGAGCCACAGGCGAGAGATTGGACACTCACCTTGAAGCCAACCGTTTGCCCCCTGAACTCTTTTCCAATTGACCACCGATCCACACCTCTAAAATGAAAAACGACATAGACCCATCAAGAAGGCTCATTTCAGCCTAAGTTATCAATGAGGAAAACAATAAACTGGGGAAAAAGGACAGACACAAAATGGGAGCTTTTATTTATTTATTTATTTATTTATTGTACATACCCTCAAGCGCCGAAGCATTGTAGAGGGGAGGGGCAAAGCAAAATAAAACAAACTGACAAAACAATAAAAAACAAACAACAAGAAATTGAAATATCAAAAACACACAGCCATTGGCAAAAGCGGCAAGCAATATATTTTACGGAAAAAAATAAACAAAATAAAATGACTCATGTTGGCTCACCAAACAGAAATGTAGACAAAGATTGGCGAAAAAGAGAATAATCAGGTATAGTTGCGATATCTGCTGGAAGGTGGTTCCAGTCGTTTGATGTATGCGGGATAAATGAATAAAAAAAAGTGTTTGTTTGGCAACGTGTTAATCCAACTTTATTCCGATGGTCCAGACGGGAAGAGCAATAGCTAGGCAGTGTAAAGAAATGGTCTCGCAGCGACTGATGATGATACACTTTATGAAACAGGCAAAGTCGAAAAAACTTTCTGCGCAATGACAAAGAGGGTAACAATAAACTGGATTTCATTGATGATATGCTAGCTGTTCGATTATAATTAGACAGAATGAAACGAACGGCGTTATTTTGAACTAGTTCAAGAGCTTTATGCAGAAACGTGTGGTTAGGATCCCAAATAGAGGCTGCGTATTCCAATTTTGACCGTACAAGAGTGTTATAAAGAAGAAGTTTTAAGTTAACTGGGGCCGTTCTGAAGTTTCGTCGTAAGTATCCTAACATGCGGTTAGCGTTGGCGATTATTATATCAATATGAGAAACCAACGCTAACATGCGGTTAGCGTTGGTTTCTAATGTTCCTCCTACAACTTGAATGTAACCATGGCATAGCACACATGGCGCAAACTAATACGGAAGCTTGGGCGAGTTGGTGATTCATCTTGAGGTGCACAAGACAAGGACAGAACGAGAGACGCACAAAGAGGCAAACACAGGCGTTGACTCACAACTCCTTTGAATTCTTTTACTTCCTCTTCAAAAAAACTTATTTAAACTAGCTTCATAAAGAGGAAGTAGAAGAAGAATACAAGGAAGTCGAAGTCATTACTTGTCTTTGTCTCTGCGCGTCTCTCGTCTTGTCCTTGTCTTGTGCGCTGTAACCTCAAGGTTCAAACAAAATAGCATCCATTAACAAAAGAAAACGAAAAAAACTTATGATGAATGATAGTGTGGATGTCCCGAAACTCGAGGTTAGCGGCGGCTTTTCTGACCAAAAGAGCGAGACTTAGCATAAGTACAGTGTAATGTTGTTAATTTAAATTCTCCTCATCCAAATTCGCGGATAATTCAAACTAACATGCAGGTCCCGTCCTACGAGTTTTTAAGGAGGAAACTCCCGGTAATTCAAACTTTGCATTATTCAAACAAAGTTCTGGTCCCCCTCGGGCTCAAAATATTGAGATTCCACTGTAGTACAAATATCAAAAAGTTATGTTAGAAGCAGAATAGTAAAAAAAGAGGCAGTAAGGTGACCATACAATGCACATTAAGTCTCCTAATTGAAGGTTCACTATCATTATGGGACTATACCCCCATACCACACAGATTAAAACGTGTTATTTGAGTGGCTGCCGGAAACAAGCTGGCAGGTATTTTACCTCAAAATGAAACCCTGGCACACCAGCTTTATACTTCCATTAGAGCACTGCACACCGATCTTGTTTGAAAACGTTCTGTGGCGCTCATAACTCCGGACCTCCTTCCAACGTGTCCTTGAAGAATGTTGGTACGCACAAGTCAAGCCAATGATTTTTCATCACCTCTGTTTCGACTGGGTTTCGGACAAAGTGACCCCCTACCTGCAGTATGAGCCGAATGAGGTTGTCCGACGCCCGTTCCGTGATATTGCCCACAAAGACTGTCACCGGGGGCCCCTTCGATGAGTTCTCGTGCTGCACAGGACACAACAGAAAACAACAATCACGTCGGGAAGCGACCTTCCGGGGCGCAACGCTCTGTGAGTATACCACATTTACACAACTATAAAACTAAAAAAAAGAAAAGAAAAAAAAAAAAAAAAAAAACATGACCGCCTCTCCACGTGGTGAATGATGTCGATTGGGGCGAAGCTCTGGTGGTGCTGATACGCTGAGGTTCGAATCCTGTAGACTGCACAAACATTTTTTCTGTTTTTAAGAAGACAAATGGGATGGCAATCGATGTGAGCATGGATGCTGGACAAGGCTAGACCCTAAGGAGCTTCGCCCCTAAAAGAAAAAAGAAGTTTATGGAAGCATGTTATAAAAAAAAAATAAGTGGGATCCTACACACTTCACGGTTATTCTCAAAACCAGCAGATGGGGGCTTCATAAACCTGTGTGGATAGTAGATTGGACGAGGATGCAATTTACTGAGTGGAACCAAGTTAGGGGGGGACACTACCTGGGAATGTCAACTTATGAACCGCTTACTCAATCAGTATAATATTTGCGGGTGGTGTTTGTAGCCATATAGAAGGAGGGCATGCAAAGTTTCAGTCGTGTGAACCAATTTTATGAGGTACTATTCCCCTAGAATTAAGTAAAGCATAGCTCTGCATGGAATCTGCTCAATGAATCTATCGTTGAGAAATGGTGTTGATAACTACATATTTTTCTGGTGGAATGCATACTGGAATACCCGTTGCCGGTTACTATAAAAAAGATTTTCAGAAAATGTAAATTTTTCAAGTAAAAAATTAACAAATTTTTTCTTTGACATTTACCAAGCTTTGCAAATGACAATTTTTCATAATAAAGAAACATAAAAATGCAAAACCTAAGTTCATAGTAACCGGCTCTATACAATTTTGGTATATAAGCAGCATATAATGTCTCTATAGTTTCATACTAAAACAATAGTTTGAAGGTGAAATTTGAGCCAAAAAGTGGAACACGGAAAAATGTGTTCGACGTGCTGCAACTTCTACCTTTTCTTTAGCATCAGTGGACCAAAAATAATTTATAAAAAATTAACTATCCAGTGTAAACTAATGAAGCCTTTTGGGAATACTCTCTAGATCTTGGTGGATGTAAATATGGCATTTTCCAAAACCAGCTTTTTTTTCAAAATTTATTTTTTCTGGGTAGTGTCCCCCAGTTTCTACAATTTTGTATTTTGTAAGGGGACATAAAATTCCTCACGCTGCATTTCATACATGGTGCTGAATGTTGTCAAAGCGGTGGGCACAAACGTGTGGCTTCCCTTGGCCTTTCGTTTGCACGTGCACGTGCAAATGAACTCCATGATTACGACACATGCTCGCACCAGCAGCTTTGATCGCGTTGCACACTGAGTACAAAATAAACTATAGATGCGCCCGTCGGCGGCGTTTTAAAGCTAGCATGACCCGATGCCCTAGTGGCTATGCCTGCCTTCCTTTCATCAGTCAGCCGATGATGGTTTTACTGCGCTAAACAGAAACATGGTTTTCCTTCCACCTGAGCTTATTACTAATTTATTTTTTCTTTCCAACTACCTCATCAAAATAAGTTCCAAGACCACGAAGTTTTCAGAACTGTGCTTTCTGGCAGGAGGACACTGAACTGAGCAGAGCAGACGGTGTTTCCCAAAAGCCATCCCCTGCTGAGTCTTCCGCTCGGGCGTTGGTGTGGCTTACGCGATGCCCCGAAAACGGCGCGACCGACGTGTTCACACTACATCAGACGCTTTCGCACGCTCTTTCAAAAATGCCGAACACGCAAGACGTGTGGACTTGGGACGTTCTCATTCGCACGAGCAAACTTAAATTGGAAGCGCCGTTCGAGTTCGACGTGCAACGTCCAGAACCCGCATGTTGCGGATAACATGCGGGTAATGCACATAACGAAGTTGTCATCTATTATCAGTCTTGAGGCTGCTTCACACATTTGCATTTGACTGTGACCGATTACGACGAGAAAGAGCACACCTGTGCCATCTTATCAGGCAACCCTAGAAAACTTCCGCTCCGCCCACAGTATACATTTTTTATGCATCTTACTTTCACTGCGTGCTCGAAATAATTCTCACAATGTCACAAGCGACCGTTTCTCGTCGAAAGTGCATAGATTTCATCTCAAAGAAAGCTGCAAAAACCTTCGGTCTAGTTATACGTAGGTCGAAAGTGTTCCAGCACACACTCTCGTCGTAAGCAGCCACAGGCAGTTTCGACGCAGTCGATCGCACCCAAACGAAAATAAGCGAACAAGCCCTAAACAATTTTAACTGCGAGGGTGTCGACATCAAGGAGAAGGGTGACAACAATCGGGTGGAAGTGACAGGGAAAGAGGGGGGTAGAGGAGGAGGGCCCACCCACCGAGGGCTGGTTCCGGCGCACCAGGGGCTTCTTCTCGATGACGGCACCGGACGAGGCCGAACCGCCCCCGGCGCCTGAGCCGTGGCCGCGCTTGCCCTGCGAGCGCGACTGCGGAACAGGCTGCTGCGGCGGCTGCGCCAGCATTGGGATTGACTGGGGCACCGTCATGGCCACGTGCGTCATCATCTGTCCATCAAACGAGAGGCCCATCTGAACGTTACCGTCTATCGTTGCCCTTTCCCCCGGAGGAGCCCTCTGCATACTCACCGGAGGCATCACACCCATGGCCATCGGTATCATGCCTCCCGCCACTGCGAGGAAAGGGAAAGGTGTCAGTCGGAAACCGCTTGCAAACACTGGGAGGGAGTCCTATCGTGCTCCATAGTCCCTCCGGGCCAGCAGTCGCATTCGGTTCAAACATCCGAGAACCGTGAACAACAGGACGAGACCGGCGGGGAAGTCCTTCGGCTGTCCCGCCTCCAGCACAACCCTCCTACTTTTAATAATGCTCCAGTGTCTTGCGAGTATGGTGCCTGGAACGTGTCTCAAACTGGTCTGTTTACTGTGTCCCAAAAAAGTGGCCCCTCGACTTCCGCCCGGCGACGTCACAGGAGTGACTTTCTGTTGCCAGTCTCAATCCTGGCGGTGTCTAAGCGGCGGTGGTTTATGTGGCAAACACCCGTTCTGTTGCAGGTCGCTCTCCAGTCTGACAGCCCGCGGAAGCTTCGGCGGTTGGCAGTTGGCACGCTGCGACGACGGCGATGGTTGCATTTGTTTGCGGTTTTCGTCGTCATTTCTATTATCGACCACCAGGACTGCGACATCTGACGGCGGGATGCTCCGGCGTTTGTGACGCCATCTGTCGCCACTTCAGGACCACTTTTGATGCATGGACGGGATGGGATGACGAACACACCAGTAGGAGAAACACCCCAGGCACCGTACTGGAGCATGCACGCGCGGCCAAAGCTCGATCGAAGGCCAAGAGTGTGTCCCGGAGAGCTGGCGTTCAAAAAAGACACCCTGCCGTTCTTGCTCTGTCGGTGACTGCGACATTTTCATTCCGACTCGTCCCGCGGCCGCGTCGACCGACTACTCGCCCGCTGCAACTGGGCTCGATGCACAAATAGCTAAGTAACGCATGCATTAACAAGCGCGTGACGAACTAAACAAAGCCAGGCGTTGTTGCATCCACTCCTTCTGTGCGTGAGCAGTCGACGCCCCGAGAGAGAAATACGTCATCTGCAGCAGCAGTGGCCGTCGGCTCGTCGTGTGGTCAATCCAAACGCGTGCGCTCTCAAAACCGAATGCCCATTCTAGCGAGACCGACGAAAGTCAGTTCGAACCAAGCAACATTGGCGGAGACTCCGGACAGCGTAACTAAATTGATGCGCAGCTTTTCGTGCTAGCATGCAAGGGATGTAGCGAAAGCGTGTCCGAGTGGATTGAGTGTCTCGCGCTGATTCGTGCCGGTGGATAGTTTAGGCTTGCCACGTTTCGTCTGGTACCAAACAACTCACTCACTTCCAGCAACTTTCCAGGCGCTCTACACGAGAAGGAATGGCACCCTGATCGATAGCCCATATAGATCGGGTCAAATGGGCAACTTAATTATAGAGAGCACAAAGCTCGCAAAGGAATGCAACAAACGTATAAAATGTAAGACACGAAAAATGCAGTTGAGTCAATCATGCCGACTGGTCCGAAATCGCCAGGCACGTCGACAATGAGACCGGAGCATAAAATGTCAACATTTAAAAGAAAAACTAGCAGACAGCTGCAGGGTTTGAGCACTCCGGCATCGCAAACTGTGAGGAACGTCATGAAAGCAAGAGGAATGTACTCTCAGCACCATGCACATGCTTCTAAAGTTGGGAGTGTGCGGAGCCAAATAAAAAACGGGAAGACCCCACAAGTCGGCAAACACATGCTGGTCTTAAAAGAGGCTGAAGAAATACTAGAATGAAAATAAATTAATACGCAAGTTGCTAAAAGGTTACAAAACCATAGTTTAAGTATAGGGTTCTGGTTCCAAATTGGAGCGCACCAACACTGTTCAATCTTTGAAGAAACAAGATCTAAGAAGCTTTTCATTTTTCAAAAAGGACTACTAAACATTGCTTTGCTTGCAAAAGTTGAACTAAGCCAAGAAAAGATGAATTGAAGCAAAAATGTTTCAACGAGACATTTTGGATCGTGCTTGTAGCTAAATGCTTAAAGCAACATTTAGACGTTGCAAGAGGGTTTGACGCCTTGGCTTACGAGTAAACAGTCCGTGAAGCACAGTGTGCACTTGCATGTGTTGAGCGGTAACATTTTACGGGACAGCACAAGAGGCAGGGGAGAGGACAGCAAATGGAGTTACCAAACCAGGCGACAAAAACATGCAAATGGATGTCTTGGTGGCTACTGACCTAAATTATTATTCAACACCTCCTCTGCACGGAAGGCAGTGCAAAAGCACACATTAGTCAGGACAAAGAGCAGTATTGGCAGAGGAGAGTGAGCAGAAAGCACAAAAGCACACCCCTTGCAATAGAATTCACAAAAAGAAAAGTGAGATGGAAAAATTAGCATTCCTAAAAAAAGCCACACTTTTAACGAAAAGGCAAACAGCGCGCAGAAAACGGGGACTAGAGGAAGTGCAGACAGGACAAGCGCTGTCTGCACTTCCTCTAGTCCCCGTTTTCTGCGCGCTGTTTGCCTTTTCGTCAGTATGAACCAACTAACCCACATCGCCACCCTTATCCACACTTTTATCCTGACTATTCCCTCACATGCTAGAATTTCATCAATAAAATGTAGCGCGATTCAACGGCAATGATGACACACGGAACGCACCACCCTTTCTACTGATACAACATGAAGTTAGCTTTTTAAACATACCGAATGCGTCGATTAAAAGACAAATTACTCAAGGCAGACAAACATCTTGGTAAAGGGTCGCCTGAGAAGAAACTCCTCTTTATTGCTTTCTCCCCCTTTTGACGAGAATGTACCCGCTATACCTAACAGCTAAAACAGCAACAGGCTTTCTATGGACAGTCACTCGTACACAAATTTTCTTTCTTGTTCAAACTCGGCGGCCGCAGAGGGCACTAGGAAAGTGGAGGGAATCTTCGCAGAACTACTTTAAAAGGTCAGGACCTTGTGTCTTGCATATTTTCTATAATGTATGATGTAGTGTAAGGGGACTATGAGAAGGTTCCTTTAAAACTTGAGTTCACCAGTGCTAAAAACACACTAATTTTCATAAATCACTAGACAGGGATAGCGCCTGTCTACATGCAATGGTAAAAAAAAAAAAAAAAAAAAAAAAAAAAAAATATATATATATATATATATATATATATATATATATATATATATATATATATATATAAGAGACTGGTATTAGTTTTTGATTCCAGCTGCAAGTGCATAAGAAAGTGCAGTGAACTCAATGAAGATACGCACATACATGTTTTCATAAACCCAAGCTCCCAACGTCTCCCATAAGCACCAAAATCTTGGGCAAAAGACTATCCACAACTTCTTCCCGACTTTACAGTGCCCGGATACTGTAAAGTTGGGGCACTGTAAGTAGTACTCTGTCTGCAGCAGCTTATTCCTTGACGGTACAGCCTCCGTCAATATGAAAGACCCACACGGAGCGTACAGCCAAGATGGTGGCTGGTGGAAGAAGCACGGCAGGCATTATAGATGGTTCCATGCAACTCCGAGCAGAGAACTCGATAACGCTGCCAAACTAAATTGGCGGACACAGAGAAAGCGCCTTGTCTTCCTTCAGAGTGATAGGGAATAACCCAAAGTGTGAGCTGTCTCGGCCACAGACTTGGACGTGCGCTCCGAATGGGTCCTTCATAGTGGTGGAGACTGTACAAATCGGGGCAATATAGAAAACTAGAAAAATCACAGTTTCGGGCCTTCCGATTTCTGCAAGAGGCCTCCGGCGTTGGGAACGACGCAATTCCAATGCCTTGGGACAAAGGGAGGGGGACCTCACCCATGTGATGAGGCATGGAGTATGGAGGTGGTAACATGGGAGGCATGCCCGGCATGCCCAAGGGCGGCCGATGGGGCGGGAAAGACATGTCTTCCCGGAGCACGAGTCGGTATTCCTGCACAGAAAAAACAGAAAAAGTATACGTCATTCTTTCTGTAAAACTATCATCTCAGACCTTGCCGCGACCAAAGCTTGTGGATTCTCTCGGGTCAAGCCTGGAAGGGAGGTAGAAACAAAAGGCACTTCTGCCCGACTTCTGTTCCTCATTTTACAGCTATATACATAACGTAAACACAATGAAAAAATGCACATACAAAAACCTTGGCAATTTCATGTGTGCTACACATAATCATACTTCTAAGAAAAAACAAATTTAAACCATAAAACACGTGCAACGAAAGTAATTGCAGCTGTTTTTTATCTTTAGTCAACATAGGACACAAAGATGTTCCACAACTTTTGGCAAAGTAGGGCACAAAGCTGTTTTGCACGTGAAGAGCTGTACCATATTTTACCAAACCTTCGCGATCACAAAGTCGGTCCTCATAATCTGAGAGTTCTCGTAGATTGTTTATTTTACGTGTACTCCTCAGATTTGTATCTTATACACACCGAAAGAAAGGGTGTCGCATGTTGAGGTTCTTTTAGTAACTTGCCCCATATGCTTCGTTCATGCAGGCTTCAACCAAAAACTCTGTCACTGCAGCTTGTCGAAATTCGATGTTCTAAGGTCGGTGCGAATACATAGCAGCGTTTGGTGCGATACGAAAGCCAAAAATTAAACCGATAAGCAAGACTGCAGTTGGCCATGACTGCACCTGAAACAAATGTGCGGATTGCCTACCAATATGCAGATCCCTAGACAAAAAAAGATACCAAAAAAAAAAAGACGCTAAACTCTCCCGGTATAACATAATTTATCACACTTGCTACGTAAAATTTATAACGACCATACAACATACTTCCCCTCACAAACGTTTGCCGTGCAAACAAGGCAAGGGACCGAGCGCGTGGATTTGGAAAGCAAGAGCCCTCGTACAAACATTTTACTGGGCTAGACTGTACTGTGGTAGACATTTGTGTAAGGGAGTATATAGTTAGCGGCACTCTAGACACTACCAAATAAATACCAATATCAATAACCGAAATCTTTAAAGCGACCTAGACCGTCGCAGTACTATCGTACTGAGCACGAAGACCCAAGCGTGAAGGGCCCGCAATGTTCCCATGCCAAAAACAAAACTGAAGATAAAGTACGGCAAAACACACACACACATAGATAGAAGGTGAGCATTGACTAGCGAAGTACGCGAATATTCTCGAGGAGCAGACGAGTACTACCTAACGAAGCAATGTTCGGGGGAGGCCAGAAACGCAGGTAAGTACTGTGTGGGTTTAGTGCCGTGTTGTTACAACACAATATACAATATACCCAAGGTTAATTCATAACTATAGCTAAAAAAGATCGCCGTTCTTCGGAAACATACGTCCCTAAGCGTCAAATAAACGAATCCGTGAACTAATTTATCGCGCTGCTCGTATTCCCTAAGCCTATTCTTATAAACTGACACAAGCTAGGCGAAATAATACTTAAGATGATTGCTGTATGGCTGCGCGTGCAGTGTGCTTTGAAACTTACCGTGGTTACGTTTTGGTGGGGTACTGCCTAAGAAGAATTATTTGCCGCGTACCAAAAGACTGACGATTAGCGATGGCGTTTAACACAAATGGCGTTTGCAGCACGGCATCATACAAGCTGTGTGCTCCTGTGCTCGTTCATACGGCTTTTGCGTAAGCATGACGTCACAAAGGTCACGCTGGTCGCCACTAGAGTCACTGTATGGGTAACTCCAGTCGCCATTGCCCTGCATTCAGTATAATATAAATACTGACCATTTATTGAAAGGGTGAAAAGGGTTCATTAGAAATTAAAAGTCTGTTTGGTTATGTTTAGGGGTGTCGCGAACCGGTCGCGGTTCGAGCAGTTCGAGTTCGACCAGGTTCGACTTTTTCGAGCTTTTAGTGGAAAGTTCGATGAACCTTGTATTGAGGTTCGACTCGTGTGCGCATGCGCGACAGGCTGGCCAGTTGGCTTCGGATTAGATGGTAATGGCTAAGAGATGAATTAAGTACAGCGGTGATTGGCTATTTCAGTCAACACAGTACTAAAAATAAAGTTATTAACTTCTTCAGTGATTAGAATTAGTTTCTTTTAATTGCAGCTGTCCACAAAATAAAATAACCCCTTGCATAAAAAAAATTCTCCAAACCTAGACATGCTTGTATTAAGATCTGGCCACACTGTCCATAAAGTCGAGTCGAACCGGTCGAATCTGGTGAAAAGTTGAAAACACCAGATTCGCGTAGGCACACGTAGGCACTAGTGGTGCAAAACTATCGATAGTACTATCGATAGTATCGATAGTGAAAAAACTATCGATAGTACTATTATGGTGCCTGGAACGCGTCTCCGACTGGTGTGTTTACCGCGGCCAAAAAAGTGGTCCCTCGATTTCCGCCTGATGACGTCATAAAAGTGTCATGCTGTCGCCGGTCGCGACCCTGGCGGCGTTCCAACAGTTGTGGTAAGTGCGGCAAACGCCTGTTCTGCTGCCGGTCGCTTTCCACTGTGACAATTTACGGAAGCTAGAGCAGCCGGAAGTTGGGACGCCTAAAGCAACGCCGTGACGACAGCGACACTCGCGTTCGCTCGTGCTTTTCGCCAGCATTTCTACGGCCAACCGCCAGGATCGCGACAGGCAACAGCATGACACTCGCGTCATTTGTTGCCACCTTGGGACCACTTTTGATGTATGGGCGGGATAGGGCGCTAAACACACCAGTCGAAGACGCGATCCAGGCACCATAGTACTATCGATAGTCGACTATCGAAAAACTATCGATAGTACTATCGATAGTCGACTATCGGAAAACTATCGAAAGTCGACTATCGATAGTCGACTATCGGAAAAATATCGATAGTCGACTATCGAAAAACTATCGATAGTACTATCGATAGTCGACTATCGGAAAACTATCGATAGTACTATCGATAGTCGACTATCGGAAAACTATCGAAAGTCGACTATCGATAGTCGACTATCGGAAAAATATCGATAGTCGACTATCGAAAAACTATCGATAGTACTATCGATAGTCGACTAACGAAAAACTATCGATAGTCGACTACCGGAAAACTATCGTTAATCAACTATCAGAAAAATATCGATAATCGACTATCGTAAACCTATCGATGGTACTGTCGACGATTTACTATCGATAGTTTTGCGACACTAGTAGTTTGCATCGCACCCTCTTCTCTTTTTATCGCTTTATTTTTTTTTTTTTTCAAATGAGACACCAATTAGCTAAGGCACTTACCATCCCAACTTTCGTTCAGCTTTCAGTGATGAAGACGGGAGTTTGGGCGAAGAGAGGAGGAAGGGGAGGCGAGCGATAGGGCATGGGTAAGACGGGCCGGGGAGGAGGAAGCAGACGGAACGCTGGAGAAGAAAGGGGGAAACCTCCTTCTCTCTCCAGCGTTCCGTCTGCTTCCCCCTCCCCGGCCCATCTTACCCTCGCCCTATCTTCTTGAGCTGTAACGGACCATAGTGGTGCAAGACTATCGATAGCACTATCGATAGCATCGTTAGTCGCCAGTATAGTAAAAAACTATCGGTAGTCGACTATTGAAAAACTATCGATAGTCGACTATCGAGAGTACTATCGATAGTCGACTATCGAAAAAGTATCGATAGTACTATCGATAGTCGACTATCGAAAAACTATCGATAGTACTATCGATAGTCGACCATCGATAGTTCTGAGACACTATCGATAGTTTTGGAAAAACTATCGATAGTATCGATAGTCAATTTATCGATAGTTTTGCATCACTAGTAGGCACTCGTGCCTACGCGTGCCCACTCGCAGCGTGGAGCGGGTTCGTTTCGGCCGGCACTCGACGAGTGGTTGCACTCTCCGAGTTCGTTTCAACGCTGGCATGGCTGGCACCCCAGCGTGCATGCACTTGCTGCACCGAGAAAATCGGGAGTGCGCCAAAAGGCAATCCCGTCATGCCTCACTCCGGCGGGGCCGGTGAGGAGCGGGAGCAGACGACTGCTACGATGTGCCGCGGAACCGAAAGGAAAAAAAAAGAAAAAAAAAAAAAAGTAGATTTTCTGATAGAAATCGCGTCCCGCGGACAACGAAATCAAACGCGAGCTTGAATTGTGAGCGTCTGCTATTTCACGAAGGAAGCAATTGACAACCCGTGATTTATTTGCAGGTTTTAAATCGCTCTGTTGCCATACAAACGCTGAAATGTACCAGTGTGTAAAGAAATGCTCAGAACAAACGCAACAGCGGCCCCCGAGATGTCTATCACCATCCGTGTGTGGGTGAAAAATTTAACATATGTCGACAAAACTCCCCCAACAGAAACGTCCGACTGCCCAATAAGCATCAGAGAAAGCTAAAGATGGTGACTTTACCCGAGGATTGGGCAACATCATCATGTTTAACATTTACCTACATCAGCTAACTTGCCCCGTCGTATTTTATTCGAGAAAGCTCTCGTTCTCGACGCCCTCACCAAGGCTAATATCTAATCCACCTATAATGACGATCCAAATCGAAAGTCCCAGTTTTGCTGGGTATTCCAACAGGATAGTTTTAATGAACATGGTTAAAGTTGCGCACAAATAGAAAAGAACAGAGAAGAAGGAAGAGAGAAGAGACAAGCGCAAACTCACAACTCGATGTATTCAAGGAAGAAAAAAGAACAGCCCTCGGGTATCAGCTCGAGCCGAGGCCACACTCGCACGGGAGCACCCGAGCACGCGGAGGACACACACCATCAACCACACTCAAACGACTGTAGAAAGGCTATTTCCTTGTCGGTTAAAACCACAGAAGGATGGCTGACACAACGCTCGCCTAAGCGGAGTATACTAAAAGCTAGTTTTAAGCCGCACCCTTTCAGTGGTTCACGCATAATACCATGCTCAAACGGATCAAGCTTCTGCTCGGACAGCATCATCAGTTTTCTTCAGTGTAAACGGTTATAAGAATTGAAAGATCGCAACCAGCTGCTTTGTAGGCAGTTGGTTGCGGAAATTTACGCCGTTTGTAACTATCTCTACGGCAGCCGAGCTGATGTTTGTAGACAAAAGTTGGTAGCGACTGCATTCTCGCAGTCCCACGCATCACTCCGAACAGAAAGGCGCTAGTTTCGGTTTGAAGTCGGTACCTTTTCTACCGGGTGAAACAAGGAGACGGTAGGCTCTTTAAATCGACCGGAAAATTTGGTTTCTTAACCTATCGCGCTACGACTTTGTGCAACGTCGCCCAGAGATGGTGCATTTTTTTTGTAAAATTTGCAAAGAGCGAACTTACCTGAGGAAAAAGTAAAGAAAGAAAAAGGCTTAGCTCCTATGGTAACGCAGCGACGCCACCGGTCTGCAATCAACACGGCGCCGTTTTGCACGGTAGATAAGAGATGGCGCAACGAACGCCGCCAACGAATGAGCATACGGCGCCGAGAGCCAGCGTTTTTAGCAGACGATCTTTTCGAATCAAAAGCGGCGCGCGTTCCGCAAACGGCGATAGTTGCAGAAACAAAAACAGGCGCGGTAACAACAAGCAACTGCGGTCCCTTGTCTGCTAAAAACGCCGGTTCTCGGCGTCGTCTGCTCGTTCGTTGGCAGCAGTTGGCATCGCGACCGCTTGTGCCATCTCTTGTCTACCGTGCGAAACGGCGCCGTGTTGATTGCAGACCGGTGGCGTCGCTGCGTTTCCATAGGAGCTAAGCCTTTTTCTTTCTTTAATTTTTCCTCAGGTAAGTTCGCTCTTTGCAAATTTTACGAAAAAAATGCACCATCTGTGGGCAACGCTGCACAAAGTCGTAGCGCGATAGGTTAAGAAACCGAATTTTCCGGTCCATTTAAAGAGCCTACCGTCTCCTTGTTTCACCCGGTACAACATAGATGGCGGCAGCATCAGTCTTCTGCACTCGGTGCATTTGGCGAGTTCGTTTGAGTCCAGTTTTCCGTGCGACACTCTGTGAGTGTGATGCATTCTGGGAGAGAACTCGAACGGTGCCAGTGCGTGTGAAACGAACTCGCTATATGACAATTGCTGGATCGCGCTTCCCCGCTTGTTCGCTGCAGCGCAAGTGAAGCCACCGGACTTCACTCGCTTGGGATACGATTTGCCGTTTTTGCTAGCCTTTGCTGCGGTTTAGAGATCAGTGGGTGAAAAGGTCAAAGGTTCGTCGAACCGGTTCGGCTCAGTCGAACCCCGGAAGTTCGACCAAAAAATCTGGTTCGACAAAAGTTCGCGACACCCCTAGTTATGTTGTCTCACGGTCACAGTTTTATATTTAGCCATTAAAGGGACACTGACAGGGTATTTATGCTCGCTGAGGTTTTTAGTTGTACGTGACATATGAGAGCTCAACTACCCAGAACAGAATTTGCGGCTCAAAATTCGGTTTCTTTCCGCCCGAAAACCGCCGATCAAGAACTGGCCGGTTCGAGTCTCGCTCACTCTCTTTTTCGCGGTCACGGGCCGTTTTCTATGCGACCACCAAATTTAATCGAAGTCGTGGGTCACTGAAGGCTCACACTCAATATTAAAAATAGAAAAAAAATATGAAACCCATTTTTTGTGGCTTCTAAAAAGCTGTAAATACGTTGATTGAAAAAAAAAGTTCCACAGACAACCGGAAGCATTCTGTGCGTTCGTCGTTTCG